TATATCACTACTTTAAAAATTAAGAAATATCGGACTACCAAAGTGACATGAGTGGACCCAAGACAGAAGTGGTATATTCCCAAGTGCAGGCCGCCCGAGCAGTCAACGGTGGGCTCTACATGCTGTGGCGTGTCACTTGGGCTTGGGAAATGAGTGGGGTAAGGTTTACCCATCCTTTTCTGGTTTTCCCCACAACAATCTTTTTAACAAAACGCTTGTCTCTATGTTGAATTGATAAATGGTAGGCCAACCAATCAAGTTAAGTAGTTTAATAATAATTTTTTATAAAAATAAAAAATAAAAAATTTAAAATACATATTATGTAAATAGAATAAATTAAAAAATAAAAAATAAAAAACATTTATTTAAAATTTTATTAAAAATTAAAATACTCTAAAAAAAATTAAATTTTTAAGAGTTGAAACACTCTTAAAATGTGACGTAATAACCGCCTTATAATTGCATAAAAACAAATGAGTATATGATCATTTGTAATAATTTAATTGCCAATAACTACTTAAACCTTTGATTAGTTATCACTAGGTTAAGAGTTTGAACCCTTTCCCCTCCAATTTGGCCTCCATTGGTCTCTTGTAATGAAAAGAAACAATTGGGTATTTAAGAAATGAAATGATGTAGAATGATTGAGTATGCTGAGTGGACCGATCAAAAGGCATGTGTCTCGTTAAAAGGAGTGGGCCATTTATGAAGACCGTCGACCTAACCACCATCACATTTCCCCAACTGTCTTGCCTCCGCAACCACTATGTCCACAAAATATCTTTTACTCGGGCTACTACTTTATTTTTTATTTATTTAAAAAAGAGATTAATTTTATCAATTAGATTTGTAAAAGAATTATATTATACCAATGAAATATTATAAAAAATTTTAAAAAGTCTCATTTTTATTTTAAAAATAAATTAATTAAATTTGTTAATAAACAATTATTGAAAGTAAGTGATTTTGAAATATTTAAATTCAAAAGATAAAAACTTTTCTCTTAAAAAATACTGTCTTTTATTAATTTAAACCTAATAACCTAATAGCCTTGGTTAAAAAAAAAAAAAAAAAACTACTCCTAATAACCTTCTCCAACCATATAAA